AGGTAGGGGGCCCCCACCGGGGCCGCCGCTGCGGGGATGGCAGGGGTGAGGCAGGAAGAACTGACAGCGTGGGGTGGGGTTTTTTAGGTCTTGCACACAAAGCAGGGTGGTGTTATTTTAGCAAAGGTGAATTTCAAACCCGGTGAAATGAAAACCGTTGAATGCTTCTGGCCCGCTTTTTGTTCTAGCCTTAGGGCTGCAGCGTGGTTCCATCACCTTAATAAGCTGTTGTTTACCATCAAAGCCTCAGTAAGCGAGTATGCTCGCAGTGCGTAGTCATTGCCACTTAACCCAGCTCACTTTCATCTTTCCATCAAGTTGTTGTTCCACACAGGACAGACTAAGGACACGCATTTGAACAGCTACTGTCACTTAGGGCAGCGTATTGGCAAATGCGTCACTCATGCCAAAGCCGAAAAGAAGAAACGCTTTAGAACTAATTCAGCTGATGCTGGGGAGTGCTCACAGATTATTTTCTGTCTGTTATGCAGTGTTAGATGGTAGTAACATAGCTTTAAATGTACTTGATTCTCTTTCTTCAGAACACCATCTCGGCATTGCACTGGTCACCCCTTGTGAAAGATTTGATTGTATCTGGTGATGAAAAAGGTATAATTGTTTGTTACTGGCATAACAGAAGCGACAGCCAGCAGTTCTTCCCAGAGCCTCGGACAATTTTTTGTCTCACTTGTTCTCCTCACCATGAAAATCTGGTGGCGATTGGGTAAATATTCATTACAATTTGTTTTCCATTCTCCTTCTGCAAGAACCTTATTGTGAATTTTTGCTACACAATTGTAAGGTGGGGTTTTTTTTTTTCTGGTATACAACAATTCAGAAATAACATTTAGATTTGGTAGACCTGCCAGACATAGAAATCCATAACAATGTAAGGGTCCCGGTTTGGTTTGAATCTTTGAAGTTTCTTAAAACTGTTATTTTTTAATTAGATTTGACTGGTATTCATTGCATTATACGTCACTTCATCTGAAGAGAATTTATTAGTTTGACTGGCCATTGTCAATGACTGCAATTCCAGTCCTTTAGATACCCAAGACTGTACTGAATAGAGTAGGAGCATGAAAGCCCTTTAGACTTAATGATACAGTTCTCTCGCAGGAGAACAAACACAAAGAGGGAAGGAATGAAAGTGATTTGTAGTAAAGGGAAAAGTTTTCCTTGTATAAAAGCCACTGTAGTTTTTTAAGTCTCTGAAAGCTGTATTACTTATGAGCTAGTGTCATTCATGAAGCAAAAGGTACTGGCTGCACTTTTTGAAAAGGCAGCTGCAGGTACACCAGTGCTATACGGGAGCTCGCATTGACCGTTAGTCCGGTAGTCCTGTTGCTGCTTGTGATTTGGCTTCTCTGTAATATGGAGATAGTGATCCTGGTAAAGAGCTTGGAAATAGAGTCAGATATTATTCCACAAGAATCCAAGAATCTCTTCGTTAATTTAAGTCTCTATTTTTAGCTACAAGGATGGCATGGTGGTCATAATTGATATCAGCAAGAAAAGAGAAGTTCTTCATCGGCTGAGAGGCCATGACGATGAAATACATTGTCTGGCATGGTGCCCTGTGCCTGGTGAAGAAAGGTTACCTGCTTGGCAAGATGAGCTCCAAGGTATGTAGAAGTGATTAATGGTTTGTGAAGTGATTTTTAGTTCATATTAATGTCCTTCAAGAGAATTGAATTCCTTATTCATAGAAAGTCAGTAAGCAGCTAATCAAAGGCAGCCAATAAGTTCAATTAAACTATGTTCTGGTAAGGAGGAATATCTTTTCAGTTAATTTTTAAAAAGCTTCGGATTTTAAAGTGTAATAACATGACTTCAATGGTATTCAGTAGTTCCTTCAGAGGAAGGCAAAGTTCCAAATGGGGAACTGACACAGGACACAGCCGTGAAGAAAGGATGTTACCTGGCTTCAGGAAGCAAAGATCAGACCATACGAATATGGAGCTGTACTAGAGGCAGAAGTAAGTAAAATTAATAATGTGAGATAAACAATAACAATATGCTGGAAAAGTTCTTCTCTAGCTGCAGCCTTCATTTGCTAACTTGATAGTTTAAAGCATGGGGAGGGTACTTAAAGCTTCACATTCAGAGGACTTCTTTTTCTCTCAGAGAATTTTGATGTACTAACTCTAGATGATCCCTCTTGGTTCTATAGGTGTAATGACTTTGAAGTTGCCACCCATGAAGAGAAGAGGTGGAGCTGTTGATCCTGCCATTAAGGAGCGCATTTGGCTGACAGTTCATTGGCCTTCTGGTCGTTCCACAGAAATTGTATCCAGCTGTTTTGGGTACGTAGGGCACAATAACTGCAGATTCATTTATTGATACCTAAGGAAGAACTGGGTAGGAAATGTTCACACCCCCTTCCTCCTTCCTTCCCAGTATAACTGGAGAGAAGAACAGGCCAAGAGCTCAAGTAGGAGTTCAGACTTTTAGAAAACTACTATTTGTCCCATAATTTGTCTAGTAATCTTAACTGACTATTGACTGCCAATGGTACTAATTGCGGTTTTGCTCATCTACTGGGAGAAAATGACATGTCAGTTTTCTGTGTGGTTAACTATGGATATCATTTTTAGCATGGTATTTGCGTGTGTGTATCTGTGTATAGGCACATGTATGTGTGTCTAGTTGTATTAGTCTTGTACTTGCAGTATGTACACATAAAATATAGTCTATATATAGCCTGTATCATTCTTTTGAAGCGAACAATGAAGTACCCACTTTAAATTTTACAGAGGAGAACTGCTACTCTGGGATTTGACCCAATCTGGAAAACGCAAGTGGACTCTTCTAGGATCTTCCGAAGGACAAAATCACTCCCGCATTGTGTTCAATCTGAGTTCTGTGAAGCGTCAGGACAAAGAGCTCCTTTTTTCCATTTCAATGGACAGAGATGTAAGAACCATTTACGAAATTAACATAAAAATAGCCGTACCTATACAGTTTGACTGAGTGAGGCTACCCCTTTTAGGGCCACACATTTTCTCTTAAAATGGGTTTATTGCAGTATTTTATAACATCATTGCTTAAAATTTGTTCTGAGCATAGGTTGTGTATATTTTTGGTAGCTTATAAGCTCAAGCTCTTGCCATGCTGGAGTGAATGGTTATGATATTCTGGACTTGAATGGTAAGCATTTAATAAAGGAAGTTTACCATTTCTTCTTCCTGTACGTTTCATTTTAAAAAAGCCTATTTTTCCTTCTTAAAATCATTTACTTGTACAAACTAAAGCATCTGTTCTGTAATTTTTTTTTTTTTAACTTTTTGCCTTTTACAGGCAGGAGAACGCCTCCTATTTTGAAGTCAGAAGAGGACCATAGTATTAAAATATAGTCATTTTGTCCATTCCATTACAGTCTTCCAACTATTGCAGCCCTGTCTGCTACATGCAGTCCTCTGGGTGCAGATCACATGCTATCTCAACCCTTGAATTTGACCGTTTGATTCTTCATCTCAGTCATGCTTTGTTTTTCCTTGTCATACCAGTCACTCTACATTTAACCATTCCTTGTTCCTTTGCTATCCTTCAGGTGAAGTGCTGGGACCTATCCACTCTCGATTGTAGCTGGACCATGCCCTCACTTGGGGGATTTGTGTACAGTCTTGCCTTCTCCCCTGTGGACACAGGCTGTCTTGCCATCGGTGTTGGAGACAGCATGATCCGAGTGTGGAATACTTTGTCCATGAACAATATTTATGATGTTAAAACCTTCTGGCAAAGCATAAAGTCCAAGGTTACAGCAGTAAGTGTGCTTTTGATTACGTTTTTTTTCCCCCTTGTCTCTTCACCTCTTTTCACTCCGGTTTTTTTCCTTCAAGAAAGAATATTTTTCACTCTGAAGAGTGTTTTTCCCAACTAAAAGTATATAAAGGCAAACTGTTCCTTTTGTACTTGATTCTTTTGGTATACATTTTAGAATCTGGCAACAAATGTTTAGACCTTTTTACAACCCTAGATGCTTGCATTACATTTAGTGAAAATCAGCTGAAAGTCCAGCTGACTCTTACATTACTTTTCCTCTTTTATCCTCCTTTGTGATCCTTCCTTGCTTCATCCATGGTTGCCCTTGCTCTGCTAGGAAGTGTGACATGCAAAAAAACCAACACTGATGTCTTCAGTTTGGGTTTAACCAGCGGTTGGCCAGAGGCTACTGCCTGGTAAAATTGCTGGCAGCGGTAAAACATGGTAGTTATTCTTGTTCACACCAAAAGTTTTCTCACCATCCCACCATATTCTCCATTTCTATTTTGTAATATAGATGTCAAATAGAATTTGAATTATTTTAGTCCCTTTCATCTTATCCCACTATAGGTGGTAGGGGGGAGAGCCTTTGATACTCATAGCGGAGTGATCAAATCAAGTGGCTGTAGTTGGGAGACTGGATATAAGGGATGGAGCTTGCTCATCAGTTTCAATGTTTTCCTTTTCTTTATTATTTAGAAATAATGTGTCTGTAGCTTGTGTTATTATGGGTCTTTTTCTGTTTTGCTTGCAGTTATCCTGGCATCCAACTAAGGAAGGCTGCTTGGCTTTTGGAACAGATGATGGAAAAGTTGGCATATTTGACACCTTCTCCAGCAGGTAAGAAAATAGTTTTCAGTGACAAGAGTAGGATTAAATTAAAGCTAGTCAAACAGTTGGATTTTCAGTGCGTCTTTTCATCTCTCCATTATGTCTGGTAGCTTCTAAGGTAATCTTTACTTCAGCAAAACTTAAAATTGCATGAACAGACATCTCCTGTGGAGGGAGGACATCAGTCAAGAAAAACTTTAGCCAGAAAGGCATTTTCAGAGAATGAAGAACAACGTGCAGGTGAAGGTCATCAGGACAGTTTTGTTACAATCTTAGTAGTGTCCTACAGGAGATGCTAAAAGAAGGCTTGGTTGAGCCATGGCTTTAGTATGTTAAAACATACTGTTTTAACAGTATGTTTTCACCACTGGAAATATGATGCTTTGATTTTTTTTTTTCCTTTTTTATTTCCCTTTGCTGAAATCTGACTGCCCCTGCTTCCTTTTCTTCCTGCCCAGTGCTAAGAATAAGCCACCACAGATCTCCAGTACTTACCACAAGAGGACTGTATACACGTTAGCCTGGGGGCCTCCAACTCCTCCTTTGTCTCCTGGTGAGTCTTCCAATGCCTTGTGACAAAGTAGAACATCCCTACAGAGCACACATGCCATGAAGTTGGTATGCCCTCCCTTCTTTGGAAAAGGAGCTCCATTTGCTTGGTAGCAATCTTTTCTAGCAGCTAAGAATGCATTCTGCGTGAGGAATTGTTAATAGTTTTGCAAGGGAGCAAAACAATCTCTTCTAGTTTTTTAATTATAGTAGCTTCAGGAAATAGGTGGGAGTGGTATATCACACCTCTCGGCTTACTTCAAGGTATTACAGACCAGTAGCTGTCTGCATGGACTTCCTGCAGTAATTGTGTCAGATCAAATATGGGTTCCTTAGCTCCAGAAGTATGTTTTTACCATTTCAACTAAACAAAACAGCTCCATTAGCTCTTCTTATGCAACTTGAATTTTTTTAAGGACCAAACTTTAAAGGGAATTTTAATGCTTGCAGTGATTGTGCTATGGAGAGATCTGTTGGTAGAAATGAGAGGTCCTTTCAGATGATTGTATTGTGAGAATCTCTTGCTGCTGGATCACAGGCAGTTGAAGCATGCATATAGCCTTTTAATACAATGTTTTGATTTATAGTGGGAGTCATTTCTGGGAAGACTGATGAAGAACATAGTATATTTAGCTTTTTTTCTCTGTTTGATAGGAGGAGAAGGTGAACAGCCCTCTGTAACTTTATATAGTTGTGCTGGAGAAGGTATTGTTTTTCAACACAACCCCTGGAAGCTTAATGGAGAGGCAAATGACATTAATAAAGTCATCCGAGACACTAATTCAATCAAAGTGAGTATGATTTGGCGGGGGGGGGGCGGGCTATGGATTCATGGTAACCATATCATAGTTTTTATGGCCTTGTAGTTGTAGATACTTGATTTTGCCATCATGATGTATCTGTAAGAAATAAAAAATTTGAAACCCGCAGTCTCCACAGAGACTTCTGTGGACTGTCTTCACAATAATTGTCTTCAGAGACACTTACTGACTCAACTATTTAAACAGTTTATGTTTTGCCTCTAAAAAAGGTTCTTTTTTTTTTTCCCCAATGTCAACATGGCACATCTGTTCCTGGCATCAGTTAATTAATTTTCTACTTAATTTACTTAAACAGAAAAGTTAAATTGAAGTATAGAGTCTGGTTCTAAAGCTGTGTGTGTAAAACTATTAGTTCATACAGAGCTTTCCAGTTTCAAAGCATTTGAAGTAATATCCTGAATAATGTCGTAGCTTGGATCACGTGGTGGGCATGCATGGGTTAAATACTTAAACTTCTCTAGTTCTCTTGTTTCAAACATTAACTTTTTTTTTTTTTTTAATTAATTTTGCAATAAAGGCAGTCATGATTGTGCAGGAGTCTGTTTCCATTTGCACTGCAGCTAATGCCGAGTGGTTGGTGATAACAAACCATAACATCTTTTCAAGTGTGATCAGTCATTTCTCAGTTGAAAGTACAAAATAAGTGAAGTGGGTTAGATCTTCAATTACTTTAAGTCAGCAAAAGTCAACTGAAGTCAATCAAATGATATCGATTTCTATCAGCTGGGTTTTGACTTCTTCCTTGAGTAGAAGACTCACTGGGAGTTGAGAGACTAATGTCACAGGCAATAAAACGATCATTTTTGGGTATCTAAATTGTAAATTGTAAGTAGCTTTCATCTGAATTAGAAATAATAGAAATAATTACAAGTAAACTTTGATATCTTTTGAAATATTATAGAATTTGCTGGCAATGTCTGGGGCTTTCCAAGAAACATAAGGAGATCAAGCATCAAGGTCCTACTAGAATCTAGACAAACTTCCTTTGAGACTTTTCACTGAACTGATAAAAGTAATCACTGGTTCTTGCATCAGTTCATTCAGTCTTTCTTAATTGCTCAAGCTTATATCACTGCTACAAAAGCAATGGACCCTTTTGTGACTTTGATTTTGAACACTAATTGCAACTCTGTCCTCTTTTGAATGTACACGAGAGAGATTTAAGAGTTTTTGGCAACAGTTGTGTCGTCTTTCTACAGCACAAACTGCCTGCGCGTACAGAGATCAGCTGGAAACCAGATGGCAAACTCTTGGCTCTTGGCAATGAAGATGGGTATGTTTTACTTGTAGGTTAAGGAGGTACATGTGCTGATCTTGAGTAGAATCACTGTAGTGAAGCGAAAGTGCTTTTTGTTGCCCTGGTTTGTCTCTGTTCCTTCACTGCCGATGTATTTGAATTGTGATAATACAGCATTCCTTGCTGTTATTTGGTTTAGCTGCTCTTGGCATGGAGGATCCACTTATGGTTGAAACACACTTTTGCTGATGTACTAAACAAGGGTTTGAGTTGAATCCAGAAAAAAAACAAACTCATTAGTTACTGTATTTCATGTTCTGTAATTTCTGCTCATGCAGGATAACAAAAAAAATTCCCATTTTTGCTGACTACTGGAATTCTTACACTGTTGTTCTTACATTTCAGCTCAATTGAAGTATTTCAGGCGCCAAATTTGAAGTTGCTCTGCACTATCCAGCAGCATCATAAACTGATTAATGCTATTCGTTGGCATCATGAGCATGGGACCCAGCCAGAGCTGAGTTACTTGATAGCTTCAGGCTCAATCAATGCTACTATTTATGTGCATAATCTGAAGAGTGTCATAGGTAACAATTTGCAGATTATATGCCAAGTCTTGTTGGCATCTTTTTTGGTATACTCCCATTTTGTCTTGCTACCCATACTTGATCCTTTCCTTTTTTCCTTCAGAGAGCACTTCAGAAAGTCCTTTGACCATAACAGAACCTTTCCGAACTCTGGCTGGGCACACAGCTAAAATCACAAGTCTTTCTTGGAGCCCCCACCATGAGGGAAGATTGGTATCTGCTTGCTATGATGGCACTGCACAGGTATTGTTCCACAGCCAGTGTATTTCTTTTAGTTTCAAATCATCTATTTTACAGTGGTTTAGAATGAAGCTGACTAAACAGCAAAGCTTCTTTAGTGAGATAAACTACTGAAGTACTGTAAATTTACCTTTAGTAACCATCTCTTGGTTCTGGATACTTGATATGTAGGTACCTGTATGTTTTTGTGACTTGTGAATTGCTTTGTAAGTCCAATCATTATTGTTTTCCTTAAAACAATAAAAAATTCAATGTTTTTTGGATCCTTAAAAAAAAGATGCTATGCAAATGTATCAATGCAAACAAAGGAAGCGCTGAATTTTCTCTTTTTGCATGTTGGTATTTGAAATACCAGTGCAAACACCCTAAAAGACAAGCTCCTACAGGTGCAAGTCACTGAAGAGAAAATGCAGAGTATTAGGGGAAGATGAGGCTTTCTGAGTAACTGGATTTCTTTCTTGTTTATAAGGTATGGGATGTTATGAAGGAAGAGCCACTCTGCAACTACCGAGGGCACCAGGGCCGGCTACTCAGTGTCCAGTGGTCACCAGTGGATTCAGATTCTGTTTACACAGGAGCAGATGATTTTTCTGTTCACAAATGGCACATCTCAAAGCAGGAGCATACACGGCCTCCTCAGGGTAAGTATATTCGAACAAGAAGATCCTTCCCTGAAGATGATGTTGGAGCTGGGAAATAGAGGTTGCCACATTGAAATGGTATGATAAGTTTTATGGTCAATTCCAGATCTGCCTGCTGCCTCTTCAGGAATAAACTGTGCCTAGGTTTAAATTGAGTTGTATCCCTATTTGGAAACTAAATGTAGATCTTGAGAGACAGACAGCTAATACACTAAAAATCTCTACAGATAATGTTAGGGTAATTTTTGCAACTTTTTACAGGCAAAAAGAGTATAGAATTAGAGAAAAAAAGAAGTATGCAACCAAAAGTCAAAACCAAGAAGAAGAAAAATCCTACAGGAAAGAGTCCAGCCAAGCAGGATCTAAGTGATGCCATGAATGGAGATGAGAGCACGAAGGAAATGTTGCTAGACGAAAATGGAGTGTCGGACCATGAAGGAGAAAAAGCAGCTCAGGAGGCAGAGTTGCCTGATAAAGTCTCCATGACTGGTAATAATCAAATCATCTTAGTTCAGTGGTTCCCAGACTGTTTAGCTCTCAGAGCACCACCAAGTTTAATATTTTCATGCAGATTTTCTTATAATACGGTTTTATTGAAAGAGTCCACTTGAAGGAAACAAGGTTCTGGAATGCCTTTCATAATTTTCTAAACTAATTTGGGACTAATTGCTTTATATAAGATTCTTGCCTACGTTATTGTGTTTGGCTTGAAATAATGTCATCTTTTGATCAGTGTTGCCTTCTGGTGATAGATTCTTATAATACTGGTGAATGTTCGTTAGTGTCTGTTGTCATCTTACTTAGCTTTCTGACAATTCTGTAATGTTCTCTTAATATTTCCTTTCCCTAAAAAGCTATTAAGTTCTATGGCAAAGCAAAGCCTGGTTTCTGTATATTTTGAAGTTAACATAATAGAATGTGAATATGTCAAGTATTCTGCTATGGGCTTTTCAGTGTATTGTTTTTCCTTTTTTTATTACTTAACTCCACAGTGTCCAAGGATACATCTTCATCTGCATACGATTATTCTTCATTCAGCTTGCCAAAGCCTTTTTTGACCCAGAAAGCCACTCCCGTGAAAAAGGATCCACCAAAAGAGAAACCAAGTTAGTATGTGTCAGGGACTTTTAACAGTCTGGCATCAAGGCAGAGTTCCTCATTCTAGGCTTCTGTTTGGCTGCAACTTCCCTTCCTAATGTGACAGCAGATAAGTGCCAGAGAAAGAAGAGCATGCTTGTAAAATCTCTTAAACATTTTAAGTTGCTGCTGCTTTTATTTGCCCTGCTTGTCAGGTCAGTTGAGTAGTTGTTTAATGTGGGCTTAGATACTGCCTTTTAGTTGCTAGTTTCATTCCAGTCAAGATGGTCAGAAAAATATGCAAAGTGATCAGTATTCAAAAGTCAGAGTTGTCGTAATAGAGATGCATGTGGCACTTGAGCATCTGGCTTTTGTTTTCCTGTGTGAGGAAGAGGGCATTTTGGAATATGTTAGAAAGTTCTGCTGTAGGACACTCTTGTAACTTGTGCAGCAGCGACTAAAATGTGTCTGATTTTTCAGCTCCTGATGCCTCTCTGAAGAAAAGGAAGCCTCGTTCTATTCTGCCCTTCAGCACATTCATGGATCACAGATCAAAAGATGAACTGCATCAGGACTGCTTGAGGCTGGCTGCATGTCTGAAAACCAAAGGTACCAGTCCAATATACTTAGAGGGTAGGTACTCTAAAGTATTCAGAAGCATGTGTCCAAGGACTTGACTTTGACCACTAGGCATTACTTTTTAAAAATCCTTAACTTTATCAAAGTGTGTGACTAGCTGTGGTCTCTTATCCAACTTCTTTTGCAGTGTTTGCACACTCTGTAGCCACTCCAGACAGGTTTTGAGTAGGATCCTAAGTTGTGGAGATAGGGTAGAATGGTCTGCATACATGTAAAGTGGTTTTCACCTTCACAATTATAATATGAGCAAGTGAAAATAAGCCATGAGAGAGATGTTTGTGTTCCCACATTGTTCCTTAGAGCATGCAAAGGAACATGCTATGTTTGATTTAGAGTAAATGCTCTACACAAACACAGTCCTTCTGATCAAACTTAGATGTAAGTTCTAAGTGTTGATCTGCAAATCGTTAAATCTGCTATGCAAAAAAGAATGTAGAAGATGTAAGTATTTGCCAACAGTTGAGCATAATGGAGTGGTACAGTGACTTGGTAGGTTCCAGTTCCCAGCATTGTACCAAATCTTAAATATTCATTCTTTTTGTCTGTTTTAGATAATAATGAAGATGTGTCCCCTGACCTCAAAGATTGCCTCCACTTGGGGCTGTTCACAGACAGGGCTTCTCTGCACAAGATGATTGATGTGGAAGGTAAGTGGAGTAATGAATCCTCTTTGACTATATGTCCATTGTAACTATTACATTCATGCAGAAAACAAATTGGGAAAAATGCGTGAATTTTTTTTACTGTGGGTTAAAGTGTAGGATTAAGAATGCTGGTCTGTGTGAAAAGAAGAGGTATTTTTCCCAAATAGTTTGTACATCTTTCAGATGCAAACCTGCAGTACCTTAAGCTTGAATAATCTCACTTTTGCCAAGTTATTTTACTATGGTAAATAATGCTATTGCACTTGTACTGATCGGGAGTGTGTTTGCTTCCAACAGGAAAACATCACTTGGAGAATGGGCATCCAGAGCTCTTTCAGCAGCTCATGCTGTGGAAGGGAGATATGAAGGGTGTCCTCCAGGCAGCTGCCGAGAGGGGAGAGCTAACAGACCAGCTGGTAGCAATCTCGCCCATGGGTATGTTTGTTCTTGTAACATATAAGCAGATGGAGTTAGCTGCCAAGGGTAGCCTCATTCTGATCGTTCTGGGTTGGAAACTCATGATTGTTCCAGACTGAAAGGAAGCTGGTTCTTTAACTGCCTGATAACAAAAATCAAACATAAAATACACACTATTTATGACAAAGACCTGGATGTTTCCACAAGCGCTCGTAGGTTGGGCTAGCAGGAAATAGAGTGGTTTCCTTTGGGACTTCTTGAAGGAGTAGGCCCATCCTTCCCAGCACAGAGTGGGTTCTTTGTAATATGTAGCTCTCTTTCCAGCTTGCTGTTGGTTTAAATATATTCTCAAGTTATTTTACCGGTAGTGGAGTCCTACAGTCGTGTTCAAGCCCTAGCTTTGCCCCATTTCATTGCCTCAGTGACTTGTATTAGCATGGTTAAGAAAGAAGAAACTAGCCTGGAGCAGAGAAGAGGTACATGTTGAAGAAACCAGTGATGATGTCATCCCACAGGAATTCTTCCAGTTTTAAAACTGCTTCCAATTGTATTGCCTTCTCTTTTGCAGTTGGATATCAGGCCTGGGTTTGGACAGTAGAAGCCTTTGCGAAGCAGCTGTGTTTTCAGGAGCAATATGTGAAGGCTGCCTCCCACCTCCTGTCCATCCATAAAGTGTACGAGGCTGTCGAGCTCCTGAAAGTGAACCATTTTTACAGGTTGCTGTATATTTATGTTTAGGATTTGCTCTTGTTTTCTAGTGGGGTAGATTGGACGTTTTGGTTCACTTTTTGTACACAGTCAATTAATTTTTCTGTCTGGTTTCTCTTATGTGCATTAGGGAAGCAATTGTAATTGCTAAGGCCAGGTTGCGTCCAGAAGACCCAATTCTCAGGGATCTCTACACCAGCTGGGCAGCTCTGTTAGAGAAAGATGGTCATTATTCCATGGCTGCCAAATGGTGAGTGTTACTGGGAAGAAAACAGAATTCGTTCCATGCCTGAAACAAAGAAGGTTCTTGGTTTTGTAGCAGCTGAAATCTGTTAACTGGTCTGGCCATTATTTGTCTAAGGTGCTTTCTGAGCTGATCTCACTAGACTCCTTCTACAAGCTCCAGAGGGCAGTTCAGAGCCGAAGGTCCAAATGCCATACTACAGTAGAGCCATCTCTTTCCATAGACATTACTGGAAGTCTTTGAAAACTAGTCTAGCAAGACTAAGATGAAGATGTATATGAAAAGACTATGTGATCTTTCCACTGGAAATGTGCAGTGCAACAGTTCATCTTGAGTCCTTAGCTAATATCCTAATCATTGGGTTATCCTCCTCCAACTAGTCTTTCAAATTTGTGACTACCAAAATTACTAATAATGCTTGAAACATTTTGGCTGGAATAGTGTCCGTTGTTTGATGCTGATTTCAGTTCTGGCATTTTTGAGGGTGTTCATGCCTGTGAAATGATTCAGATGAAACCCAGAGAAATGCAGTAGGGATAAACTACTCCATATAACCTTTGTCTCCTAATCTATTTATTTCTCTTTCTCACCCAAGCTGTGCATGGTATGCATACCACCAGAGGTTTCAGTCCAGATTATTAGGCTGTGTGACTTTGCCTTTGTAGCTCTGCATTAGATCAGGCACCATATGTCTATAGTAAACTTTGGTAAGGCAAAGAGATGAGAGCTCTGAGAACCTGTGGAAAGTACAGGTTTATCTTCATTTGTATGTTTGTGCTACTGTGTTGCAATACAATTTAAAAATGGTATCTTAGTACTAATCAAGTTTATCTGCACTTATCTCTTTACAGTTATTTGGGGGCTTCCTCATCCTATGATGCAGTTAAGGTGTTGGCAAAAAAGGGGGATGTGACATCCCTTAAAACTGCTGCTGAGCTTGCACTGATATCTGGAGAGGAGGAGTTGTCAGCAACTTTGTCTTTCAGATGTGCCCAAGACCTGCTGTTATCCAGGAACTGGGTGGGAGCTCAGGAAGTCCTTCAGCAACATAAAACTTTATTTGTGAGTCTGGTTGTTTCCTTTCAGCTTTCTTTAGCGTTGTCTCTCTCCAGATTAACTTGGCACCACTTCCCATATGTTAATAGTCCACAGGTAGTCCTTTGAGCTGTTTTTTCCCTCAAAATCTTTTTCTAGAAGTTTATTGCAGTGACCCTATGAAAAAGCATGTGCCTTTGCAGAAGGAAAGGTGGAGAGGCATGTAGGCTCTGTGCTTGTTAGTTATATGAGAGGTAGTTGAGAAAAGTGGGATTTTCTTTAGGTGTGTAATACCGATCATAAGAAGAAAGAAGTGAAGTGTTTTTCCTGTTTACATTAAAGGAGCAAATGAGCTAACTCTTAAGTCCATCTGCTGGAGGCTTAATCCAGAAACTCATTTTCATGCAGACTGAGAAGCAGGAGGCTAGCTTAGCTTGTTCTGAGGTTTCTTTCTGACCTTAGAGTCTCCGAGTCTATCAGCACTGTTCTTTGGTACCTGCAGTTGTGAAACAGTCTATCACCAACAAGCTGCTACTAACCGTGATGTTCTTAGATTTATCTACCTGCTGTGGTCAGTAAGGGATTATTTTTCTTGTAGCAGCAGCTCAGTGCTCTTTTTTTTGTTTTTCTTGTTAAAGGGACAAAGACTTGTTTTCTGCCTTAACGAACTGCTTTGCAAGTGCCTTAGTGAAAGAAATCCCTGTGACCGAAAAAGCCCTGTGCCTCCCTGTTATCACAGCTGGGAGCTGAACAGAGAGGCCTCATTTTTTGACATGGTAATAGAAGTGTGGCACAATGTATTGGGCATGGACACCACTGAACAAGCTACGTGTGCAGAGGAGCAGCTGCGCGGTATTAAGCATCCTCCTTCTACCAGTAACACACACCCAAAGCAGGTAAATGGATTTAGATCTGTATATACACTAAGCGTTACTATGGCATATGCAGTAAAATGCAGCTACTTTGTGATGGTGTGCCAGCTATTCCCAGGGGACTGGTGTCTGCATTCTGCTGCAGGATGAGGTTATACTCTGGGAGTAGATGATGGGCAGCTGGGACAGCTTGCATAGCCACCAGTTTGTTTCTGTATTTGTTTCTGCACAGGGTAAGAACTGATATGTGGTGTCAGTGATGAGCACTGAGATGTGCTGGCTGGCTGGGAGTGACTGGCATAGCTGAGCAGTCTCAGCAATGAGTCAGGGTTTTGTGTCAAACTGTTAGGAGAGGCAGGGCTGCTTGATGTTAAAATATCGTGGAGTTCAGAAGGTCTCTTCGTAGACTGGTGCTCCTGCAGCTCTTCTCTCTGACCACAGTGAGTCACTGACCTTCGGTGTGCTCCCACTTCTCATCTGTTGAGTAGGACAGATGCAAGCACAGCTGCTGATTTTACAGTTATAAGTAATGTAAACGTGCTCTATCTATCTCCTGCATGAAGGAGACTATGTAAATTGCATTGTCATTAAAATGGCTTTTGGTTAAGCCATGTGCTTCTGGGCTCTTCCACAATGGTTATAGGCTGTGAGTAATTCATACTTGGCAGTACAACTATTAATCATATTGTCTGGTGCTTCCTGTAGGTGCTTTTCCATATCTCCCATGACCTGACCCTTGCAGCCCTGAGCCATCAGACTGCTACTTGGGATGAGGCAGTGAAAAGTATTCTTGGAGCTGTGACCCGCAGTTATGACGCTGGTAATTTCACTCTGATGCAAGAGATTTGCGGTATCATCCTTCCTGAAGGTCAGTCTCTTCTTGTGTATCTCCAGGCACTGGGAGATAGGGAGATCTTCCTTGTAAGCACAGCTGTGTATCCATTACAGAATCACAGAAACAGAAACACTAGGTTG